ATTCTACTTATCATCCATTTAATCTTACAGCATTTGTTAAAGCTCCAGAAACATAACCCAAAAGACTCAATCCTGATTTGTGCAAAAAAAAAAAAAAAAAAAAAAAAAAAGAGACAAATGATTTCTCACAGGGAGGCTGATTATAAATGTTTATCAGACATTTTAAATTTGTAAAAAAGTTTTTTAGAAGCCATGCATCAATTGCCTTTCGTTTCCCAAAAACTTTGCAGTTTTAATCTATCAACATGTGAAAATGTTGAAGGGATCCATATGTAGAGTAATCATTGTATATGGAGATTATTAAAACACATCAATAATATGTTTGTTTGGTCAGGTGACCAGCAATGGCTTTGTGTCTGTGATTTCAGCAGAGTCCAGACTGAAAGGCAGTAGGAACAGCATTAAGAGTAATGCAGCTTTAATGAAAGCTTCACAGCTTTCTCATTTCTTAGAATAAAAAACAATAAAACCAGTTATCCTAATGCTGGGTTCTCATGAGGAACAATAGGTGTTAAGAATGGGAGGAACAAATGATGCACCTGCTTTGGGTGTAGAGATCTGACACGTTGCCAGGAACATCATCATCATCATCATCATCATCCTCAGCAACATCTACCCGCAAAATGAACTTTTTTTTTTTATCGTTCACCCCATTTCCACGCCTTCCTCATATTTATGATATAACCCAATGAGCTGTTCTTTAATAATCAAACATTTCTTGGCGACTCAACCTTCCCCTGTGTGCCGCAGAAAACAGGGGAAGGGCTCTCCCTGTGGTGCCAGTTCATAAAGACGCTTGCGCAATAAAAGGCGCTATAAACCCTCTAAAAGCGCATTTGGATCGCTGAACGGATCATTTAAATTTCATATTCCTCACCTCTCGGAGCTTCCTGGTCGCTGGCGTCTAGTGCTGGCGATGAGGATGCTGCGTTTTTTTTCCTCTACAAAGACCAAGAGAAACTCCCACCCACTAAGAGACCGTCTGACAATTATTACCACCAGCAAAAACAGGCTGCTCAGGGAGCGTCTGCGAATTACTTTCCTTTTAATTTGATTTTGCAAGACATAAAGCAAATATTCATAAATCAAAAAATTAAATGGGAAGTAAAAAAGTGGGAAGTAAAAAAATCGACCTATATGCTCAGGAATATATAGGCCTATATATGTATATATATTAAATTAAAATAAATTACTAACAGCAGGGACACCATTAATTTACAGGGTTTTTTGTTTTGTTTTTCTTTTTACAGTTTGTTTATTGTAATAAAGCTTGACAGTATACTGCTGTAAATTGAAAATAAGTAACAGAAAAATAACTTTGAATTATTGTTAAGAGGCAAATATTCACGAATGTCAACAAAATTTATATTTTTAGAGATTATTAATCGTGTATACAAGTTTACAAACTGAAGTGGGAAGTAGAAAAAAAATCGATCTATATGCTCAGGAATATATATATATATATAGTAAAAGATTTAATTGTAAATAAGATTAATTGTTAAAGATTTGTGCTAACTATTACTTATTTATGGAAACACATCTAGTTTTCTACCTACAGTCATAAAAGTCCTTTAGAAATGTTGGAGTGTCAGTCATGGCCCTACATGTCAACTGACTGCCTGGCAGGAAAATGTTAATTAAAGAACAAACCAAGAAAACCAAGTTAACTGGATCCACGGAGCAGGTGAGGAGATGTACGGTAGTTTTACACTTCACAACCCTGGCATTTATGAAACAAAAGTTTCTGAAAGTGGAAAACAGAGAAAAATTGTTGATAGGAGATTTTGAGAAATTCCATTTACAGTACCCTTTTTGCTGATGTTATGTAGTGGAGACAGTAGACATGTAGATGGAGGAGCTCTGTTCAGACACAATGAAGCTTGAACCTATAGATATTACAGCACTGCATATAACAATAAAAACACTGTGCTACATGGTTGTGGCAGAGGTCATATTGTGGGGATGCTTATCTCCAGCAAGTACGGGGAAGCTTTTAGCCGTTTACGGCAATATTAATAAAAGACAAATCTTAAAATAAAGCCTGTTGGAGCCTTAAATTGACAAAGACCCACTTTCCAAAAGAGCACCAGCCCTAAACATCTGCCAAGAGCTACATTGGAATGGATTAGATCAAAGCATATGCACATGTTTGGATGACCCAATTAAAAGTTCAAACATATACAGTGCCTAGCTGAGAAGCTCTGGTAAAACTGGAACATTCCTCCCATCTATCTGAATTAGCTCGAAACCTTTTGTAGATAAGAAAATGGCAAATAAAAAATAAATCCAATTCAGTTCAATTCAGTTTATTTATATAGCACCAATTCACAACACAAGTCATCTCAAGGCACTTTACAGTTCAACCAGATCACAAAGTCCAATTGATTCAGAGTTTTCAATCTAAAGAAAACCAGTTGATTGCATCGACTCATTGACTCAAATGCAATCCCTCACACTAAGCATGCTTGTAGCGACAGTGGAGACGAAAAACTCCCTTTTAACAAGAAGAAACCTCCAGCAGAACCAGGCTCAGTGTGAGCGGCCATCTGCTGAGGCTGACTGGGGTTTAAGGAGACAGAAGCAGAGATACAAAAAGCAGCTGAAACACACAGCCAGGCGGATGAGCTCCGAGCCAGCTCCCATGTCAGAGGATGAGGAGAGCACATCCACGGTCAGAGAAACAGGACTACACTGGAAAACGGGCCGATCTCCAGCATGTATAAACAAGGGTGTTGATGGAAGCAGCACAGCTGATATTTCTCTCCAGGATGGTGAAATCCACATTTATTTTTGCTGTTGTGTTTAATATATAAAAAAAACAAAAAACAAACAAAAAAACAACATCTCTACCAGTTCAAGGTATATCAATAGTTTATAAGGTACTTTAAGTTTAACACTTGAGTTGAAATGAATAAGTGCAGTCTACAAAATCTTCATTTAAAGCCAGACTCATTAGGTTTATTTAACAGTTCTGTGAGTAACATAGCTTTCCAGTCAACCAAGAACCAGTGAGCAAATGTGAATCAATATTTTTTCAGTGTGAGACATCTTAAATGTTCTATTCCGAGTTTTCCTGATGACAACATCCTGCTTCCCAATCTGTGTGCAGCCGAACACGAACAGGAGATTTTATGTCATGTAAAGCAGCTTCCGTCACAACTACTATCATAAGTGAATATTTCTTTTGGGAAAAAATAGCTCTCATCAATCGAGCATTCTGCATAAAGCTTGTTAATTCAGTTCAAACAATCCCTTATAGAGTCATATATTTTTTTATTCTATTTAATTGTAGGTGCATTGCAGAAGCTGTCTTTCAGAATGGAAATCATCGCCAAGGAAAGGAGCTTAATAATCAATAAAGCAATAGGATTAAGGATTAAGATGAGCAGCACGGTAAACAGCTGAGGTTTTGTACCAATTTATTTAACTAGTTTATAATATATTTTTTTACTGGGCTAGTTACATATTTGCTGTAACTTGAAATCACTCAATATTTACCAAAGACACATCTAATATTTTTTATGCACAGGCATGAAAATCCGAGCTTTAATATAGGCCTTTAAAGAAAAAAAAAAAAAAAGCTTTTATTTATTATAATTATTAAACATTTTTGGATTGAACCTCTAATAACATTGACCATTGCAATTAAATAATTCATGTCCAAATGACTTGCCCAATTTTAATGAAAATATTTCTCTTCTACTGCATCTTAAATAAATCTTTATTAGGTCTTAAATTATATTCATGTATGTGCAGCAGACGTCTGGCAGACACAGAACAGAGAAGTCAGTCTGAGGTTTAGAAAAACTATAATAAAGATTTCATGTTGAAACTATTGAAGTTATGAGCACATATATTAAATGACAAAACAATTAGCCTCTCCTCTCTAATATTCTAAAGATTTCACATTTTTTCAAACACTTTCCCACAAAAAATATGTTTAACTAAATATGTAGAGATATAATTTGATTATAGCAGAGTATTGCCTGAAAACAGCAAGAATTGAATGCTTTTTTGCAATGATTATTTTTCCATGAAGCACCAGAGTAGTTTGGTGACATGCCTCTCCAGCTTTACACCAAGTTGGTGTATAAAAGTGCTTCTAGTGTGTAAAAATAGAGAGCGGTCTTATATCCAAGGTAATTTCATCTTATTTTGAAGGTGTTGCTATATTCCATTTGCAGGGTTTAAACTAACAGCTTACATGAGGAGGGTTCATCACTGAGACTTGTTCGCCACCTGCTGGATCGCACTTGTAAAGTCACTAATTTCAGGAATCAGTATTTTCTTATATACCATACAAATTTCACTCATTCCCTTTGAGCATCTCCACATTATTTTTTCCAAATAACAGCAACCAATATTACTGTGTTTTATTTTGAGTTTTGAGATAGATTAACATAAAGTAATAAAAAGTGATGAAGTGGAAAAATGTAACAAAAGATTTAAGAAATATTTGAGGGATAACAGCTATTTAAGTGTAGTGTGCGTTTTCATGTAGTCCCCCTTTATTCCATTACCCCTTAATAAAATGATATATGGAATCGATTTAATTTGCATTTTCCTTTTCACACAAACACTTTTTCACATGAACTATATGCACTAATCCAGAGCTGAAAACTAGAAAGAAACTAAAAGTTAAACCTAGAGAAACAGGCTAGATAAATCTTGATCAAATAAATTATGTTAAGAAATGAAACTAGATTATTTATTTATCAGCAACTGCCATTTTTATTACTGATATAATTATTGTTAGAGGAAGTACAGGTGTAATCAGCAGTATTAAAGTAACAGTTTTATGCATCAGGTCATCTTCAAGATATTTAAAGATAAGAAAAAACAATACTATTATGTAAAATAAAGTAATAGAAATAGCATAGTGGTAGTTTATAATGCAACATACAAGTTATATTGGTGCACTTGGTGCAGTGATAGTTTGATTGTGATTGCTTACATATCCAGGCCAGCAGGGGGCATTAGACAGACAAGCGGACACCTTATTGATGACATCCTTAAAGTGGACGAATAAAGACGTTTTCTTGCCTGCTTTCGAAAGAGGAAACAGGGCACCGAGCCGAGGCTCCGTGGTGCTGAAAGGACAGCTCCCCGGCTTTTTGACAGCTGCAGGTAGGCTCTACTGTCGCCATCGAGATAGATTAGAGAAAATAAAGATATTGTCGGTTATCACTGAATACAATACAGATCTTTCTAGGGTAACATAGAAATATTAATGAGGAGAAAATGTCTAAATTGTCTATCAGACAGAGCTTCCATTCACATTGTTTACTAATGATAGATTTAGTTTTAAAGTTTACATCTTAGTCTGAAGCTTTTTCATCTCCAGAGCTTGTTCGTGCTGTAGGTTAGTAGACCTCTAGAACAAGGATGAGATATTCTTAGTATTCTCAGTGGCACCTGGGAGTCCCTAGACCCTAATTTTCTCAGAAATGAGTTCCTTTCAACCACAGAGTTATGTTTCTTGACTCACATTTTGTAAAAACCAAACTGTGTCACACAGGCAGACATTGTGTGTATAATTCTCCCAATTATCTATTCTTAATGACCTCAACAGAGTATGTCTTTTAATTTAAATAAAAATAATTGTCGTCCACTATTACTATTTTTAAAATACCATATGTGTTGCTTGTTATATTAGAATACAACATTTAATTTTCTGCAATTTATTTCAATAGAATCTCAGAAAATATTTCTTGATATTTAAATTCAGCCACCTGGTGAAGCCATCTTTCTTTGCAATTGGATCTACAAGTCTTTCCTTATTTTTGAACAGCAACCTTTCTCATTTGGAAGGATTTGCTGTGGGACTGTTTCCATTCTAGTGTCAAGTCCTTTAAAGCTAATGACAGTTCTCCTTTAGGATCCCCCTGTTTTAGCTCCATCAATTTATAATTTTTCTTCATGGTAATGACTGTGTTTACAGGGCAATGTGCAGTGATATATTTCCATTTTACTTGCAAGCCAACAAATTTCTGTTTAGTCTAATCCTCCTAGAGCAGTCTCTGCTACATATATTCTCTGCTCCTCCCATTGGTTAGGACAAAATATTTTGACTTTCCACTTTACATCCTTCTGTAAGGTACAACTAAAAACAGCCTTGCTTCTATTTTGCCTCCCTTATTACATTAACACCTGCTTTCCCTGTGCCTCACCTGGGCAGTGAGGTAACAGGTATTTTCTTTTAGTTCACAATCCTTCTCTGTTTTGTGATCTACTAGATTCTGCTGGGCATTGGTAGATCTGCTGTTGTCATACCTTCCCCTTTCTTTTAACATTTTCTTGTTATTTATTACATTTACACTGTTTTAAACTAGTCATTTGATTATATTTAGAGTATCAAGATTAGAAATTAATCAGACAACAAAGATAAGCATATATCACTTTTGATGGGTTTTTTTTTAACAGGTATTTCAGTTTACAATCATTCACTATGCTGTGCTCTACTAGATGCTGCTTCTGATTTATTCTGCTAAATTTCACCTTTGCTCTCTTACAGATATGTTCACCCGAATGTTAAAGCTGAGACTGCTTAATGCTGTAGCACCTGCGTACTTCTTTGTGGCCACTGCAGTTACGTTTATACTACATTTCTTTCTCTTCATCCCATCTATCTTCCCCAATCCGGACACATCGCTGAGGAGCTCGACAACCCTTCACACAGCCGTTTTTCTCTTCCTGATGTTTAATGCATTGGGGAATTACATAATGACTATCAAATATCCTGCTGAGAGTGCCAATGACACAGCGATTCCGGTGTGTTCACCCCACTGCTCGGACAAAGTGGATGCCCACTACCTCCTTAACGGACGCCACTTCTGCAAACTGTGCAAGAAGGTTATTTTCAGGAGAGATCATCACTGTTTTTTCACTGGAAACTGCATCGGCAACAAGAACATGCGCTACTTTATCATGTTCTGCATCTACACTTCATGCACATGCATGTACTCTTTGGTTCTTGGTGTGGCCTTCCTGACAGTCGAGTACTCCATCTCCTTTGAGAACCCACTGACCTTCCTGACCCTTCTCCCTCTCTCCACTGGTTACTTCTTCATGGGTGAGATTATAGTTATATTTGTTGAGTAAAGCAAATCTTGGGTGGGTTCACATCTCAATTCTTGTTATCCTCCTTCTCATAGGCACAATCTCAGGCCTGCAGCTATTCTTGGTGCTGATGCTGTATGTGTGGCTGGGCATCGGCTTGGTGTGTGCAGGTTTCTGCTGTCAGCAGGTGCTACTGGTGGCCCGGGGGCAGACCTGGTGTCAGATGCAAAGAGGGGAGCTGGTGGAGAATCGCAGCCCTTGGAGAGCAAACCTCAAGAATGTTTTTGGTGCCCGCTGGATCCTTGGCCTTATTCTGCCTGTGCAAACAGTGGATACATACTCTGAAGATACAGATGACCTCAAGCAAGACTGACGGACAACTATTCATCACAAAAAGTATAATTTTGGTCAAAAAAGGGGCTCAACTTTTAGAATGTTGGTGGAAACTGTTTTCTAATCTGTATGGATGCTTGTAGTAAGATAGCTGTTAGCCTCATGCCCTTAAAGCCAGGAGCCATGCTAACAATGTGAGACAAGTGCTAAGCATACATGTTTATCTTTAAAGAGGCATTTCTTAATGCAATATTAGATAAATAATAAAATAAGTGATAAGTAAATAATTTTTACAGCACCCTACATGCATATCTGTTTACCTTCACTGCAAAAACGATCTAGAAATAAGTCAACATTTCTTGAATTAAAGGTATTCCCCCCTTAATAAGACGATTTTCCAATTGAATGAGTATTTTTACTCTTAAAATAAGATAAATAGATAAAATGCTCTTAAAATAATACAATGCAATTGTTTTATCTTATTTTAAATGATAATTGTCTTGTTCCATTGGGAAAGTGTGTCATTACTTCCTCTACTCAAGAAAGATTTGACTTATTTTAAGAAACAATGACTTTGGATTTCATTGTTTTGCAGAGTTTTGAAAATGTGTAAAGAAACCTTGCAGTCAATTCAGCTTGTATTTTACCAATGGCATCTAATGCTGAAGGTTTTAGAAATATGCAACAACTCATGATAACCATTCCTCTTTGGACAATCTAACTAGATCCTCCAGAGTCCTGGGTTCCTTCCTTTCCCGCTCTCCTCATCTCATCCCACACCGCTTTCAGATGATTAAGAGGCTTTCTGGTCGAGTCCGCCAGAAATACCTTTTTACTGTAGATGCCTTCATTATGATTCCTTTATATATATTATGTTTTATGTTTGATGGAAAAAAAACAAACTCAGTCTTTATCCAAAGCATAGGGTTTTTTTCTGTCTCTTTGATGTTTAGCAAAGCTAAGACAAAAACACTAAAATCCACAAACTGATTTCACATTTGTGGAATATATATATATATATATATATATATATATATATATATATATATATATATATATATATATATATATATATCCAATATATATATATATCATTAAAAGATTTATTCAGTAACATTCTCAATGCAACAGATTAAATTCTTTTTACACATCTCTCAGGCGTTTCCATAAACTCGGTGGGTGTTTTATGTTACACTGAACAGCTTTCAAACTAACATGACTGATGCGATTTCAGTTGAAACTTTCTAAATAGAAAATGCTGGAGGGGTTGGGATTTAAAATATCCAGGATTTATGGACAACAAGCCATCCTTACTTGTGAAAAATACATCTGCTACTAGATGCATAACTTTTTTTATTTTACATTTTTTTCTGCAACTAAAGTAGTTGAGCTACATTCACTTTGGTTTTTCAAGCGTACTTTTTGAATTTAATGATGCCTATTTGTGTATTGCAATAAAGTTTTAATGGATTTAAAAACCACACCATGCAGTTCTTCTTTTTTCCATCTTTAATGACACATCATTTGCTAGAAAAATAATAAGAGAAATGTCTAACAGTTTGATAAAGACGAGATACACAACACAAAAACTCACAAAATACACACCAGAAAATCCCACCTCTTACTTCCCTGTGAATTATTACTACCAAAAACATATTAATAAAATTTAAAGAAAATTACAACCATTGTCTTTACAATATAAGCAATTGAGGACATCTTCATAGATCACCCCAAAGACAAACAAAACCATAGATCCTTTGACTCCCCTGACTGCATACAACTTCCCTCCACATAAGAGAAGTGTACACATCAAAGATAATTGCACAAAAACATAAAGCATAAACATGAACACATTTAAAAGGCACAGGCATTAAAATAAACACATATATTCACATTATTTCTTCAATACACAATGCTCAAAAACCTCAGAGGAAAGTGCAAGTCTAAAAGAAGAGCTATAGCTGTCATATTTTGTAAAAAACAAAAACATATCAAGACTTATAAAGCATGAAATTACAGAAAGCATAAAGATGGCAACAGCCGATCCAGAAGCTAAACAATAGTATGGCTACAACAGTGGTGTTGCTACATTTCTGTTCAAATATCTTAGCAAATATAAAATAAGAACAGAAGATTGACGAGCAAATTTCACCATTAAACTGGCAAATTTATCCAGGTCACAACCTAAGATTCGTCACACCTCTTAACATAATTCTTGGTCACGAAGAAGGAATAAATAATACTGACACCTAAATAACATCTTTAAAATTGAGAAAAACTTATTTCAAACGTGAAATGTATGTTTCTCTAGATACATACATTTTTAACATTTATATATAATTGATAGTAGAAAGAATAATCAGATGAACTTGTCCGATAAATAAAAGAAAACATCTGATAAACCGTCTATGCATCAGCAAAAATAAATTCTTTCATAGGATAAAATATATTTTATGTCTATAAGACTAAATGTTTTTGTAAGTAACAAAGGTGCCTTAGTTTACAATTTTATTGAAACTTGAACTCTGGCTTTAAATCATTTGAGAAAAATGTTCAATACATCACAAACAACCAGTGTGTGCCCTTCAGACGCTCCAGTAGAGCTAAATCTGAAAATAAACGATGTCAACGTAAGTTTCCAAATGCAGAAGACCAATATCATCTAACTGAACTCAGCTCATGACACTTGTTAGAGCTAAATGTGTAAATTGCAAAATTCCATTTAATATATAAATTTAATATAAATAGGTTAATGTACGTCAATGCTATTCTCCAATAACATGCACATAGCACACATTCTTTTTTCTTTTTCTGGGGAATTAAGGCCTCTTCCCCTTCATGCAATTTGCATTCCTCCATTACATATGCAGGTGATTCCTAGAGCCCTGGAATACTGGGATAAGGATTTTCACAAGGTCCAGGCCTGAAAGGGTTTAATTAAACTACAGCTGCTAAGCCTCAGAAGTTTGCAGTTTCTTTTCAAGCTGTCTAGTGTTCAAATGGCATGGCAGCATTTCACAATTAGAGGTTTTATTATAGAGTTTTAACTGAAATAAATCTGGGGAAATTTAGATTTTCGTGGTATAGTTTTGAATGTATATCTATCAATAACAAATCCAATTTTTATACTAATTTCATTTTTGGTTATGACTAGTAGAAAATTTCACCACTTTTTCCCTCAAATTAACATTCAAAGATTTTAATTTGGAATATTACGACCCCCAACATTTAAACTCTCATGTAAAGTTTCTAGAAATGTTCAGCCTCTTGTAAACCTGAGTTGTGCAATTTTAGCAGGCAGAGAAGTTTTGCATGCCTATCTTTACTTTTTTTTTTAAACAGTTTATTTTCATGGGCACAGCTTGATATATATATATATATATATATATATATATATATATATATATATATATATATATATATATATATATATATATATATATATATATATATATATATATATATATATATGTATCCCATGCAGATTTAAGCCCACCAATTATATGAGCCACATTGAACTTCAGCAAACTGCTGCGAAGGCCATAATTCTCAGCAGGAGCAGGACTTTAGTTAAATGCAAACTGTTGAGTCAGAACTATTCCTGTAAAGCTGAGTCTGTCTAGTGCACACGTTGTTTTTTAAATAAAACAACTGGTACAGTCAGGAATAACAGATAGTTATGTACCTTAAGTCCTTTCAGAGCAAGTTATATTGATACAATCAGAAAAATAATGGTACCCATGTAATACTAAATAAATGTAACATTTTAGTTAACAGCACTTAGGGCAACTGGGTTTTCAGGCATCTACATGGCTTCTCATTTAGTTATCCAATCTGGACCAATTAAGGTCTACTTTTAAATAACTATTATTATTAGAGAATTATTATATTATTAGAGAGAAAGAGTAAAATACCCTGATCCTTCTTTCTGAATGCCATTACATGGACCTAGGCACAATCCTGAAAACCAACATCAAACACATCTGTTTGTTACTGCAACCACCAATGAAGTAGATCACTTAACAGAACTGTTTTAGACCAGATGAAGTGAAAGGAAGGGATCTGACCTAGATAAGCCTGAATCTCAGTTCACTTGTCTCAGTACTCAAGCCTGTTGCTAATAAAACATAAAAGATCAATCATCTTTAGGCAGTGTTATTATTTTAAATATATGCTATTTATAGTTTAATGTGTCCCACTTCCTTCAGTTCTTTAGTGTAATTTAACTGTTGCTTGAGAGTGCGAGCTACAGAAATCAAGCATCTCTTCATGTAGTTACCGAACATTCAAAGAATATTTTGGACACAGAAAACACGTTAACCTGTTTGTTAAAAATGCATGACAGACATCATGCATCCATCTGGCTTGTTATTGGCTGTAAGGCGTGCGTTACTTCGGTTTGACACTGATGCGCCAGAGAGTCCTGCTCCAAGAAACACTTTCACCCATTGCGCAACATCAGAGGCAGATATTTTGTAAAAGGCAAAGATTAGAAATGAAGGCATGCTTTAAAACTCTGCTTCAGTATAGATGCTGTGTTTAAGATTCAAGCCCAACCAGCAGTGATAAATGTTTTTTAAATTCCTGAATTCTACATTTAAAACCGTTAACAGTGCTTTACACAGGTATTTATGTCCCTTTAACCTCCACACATTTTGTCACGTTAAATAATATCACTGTGGCCCAGTGGGGAGAGCAGCTGTCTTAGAATGTGAAAGTTTTCTTGTCTATTCCAACTCTCCCCCATCAAATGTTAATGTGCCCCTGAGCAAGGCACATGCTTCTAAAAAGCATCTTTTTCATAATACTTTTACTTTGCAGAGGTCTATGGGGAGAAATGTCAATAGAAAAAACTAATTGTTTGTTTTGTGAAGTGTTTGCAACATGACAAAATGTAAAAAGGTTTAAAGGTGTCTGTAAACCTTTGTAAGGCACCGTACACCCCCCACCATCTGATAAAGCAGTGAGAGGCTAGCTGTGTTTTTCATAACGATGTGACACATTCAGCAGCTGACCTCATTAATAATCCTTCTGAAACCAGATTTAAAACTGCTGGTTACATCAATTAAACATGTTACGCTAGGACACGCTGAGCTTTAACCTGGAAATGCTCTGTTTCCGTGTCCTGCAGAGAGAGCTGTAGCTTGGTCCACAGCTGTGGATCCCCACTACTCAGAGCTTCAAGCAGCAAAGCTGTTTGCTCCTGCAGAAGGTGGAGCTGACCCTGGGTGCGCTTGTTTTCCTTGATCAGTTGCTTGGTGCGCAGCGTAATCCCTAGCAGGCCAGACTTGCTGAGAATGTTGTAGGTATTGCTGAAACGCTTTAACTTGTTACTGTGGATGGAGATGGGATCCTGATATTTCTCTGTAAGCAGGCTGCTGCTGCTGTTGTCGTCGGGTACAGTCCTCAGCTCCTCATATGTGTAGTTCATTAACGAGCTGGTTTCATCTGAGGCCAGAGATTTGTTGGAATCTTGTTCCTGACTCTCAATAACCTGAGCTTCGCTGGTTGCTGCTTCGAAACTTGAGACAGCTTGGGCTGAAATGTGCACAGCTGACAGTGGGCTGGGGGACACGTCAAGCCTCTGGGGGTCATGGGGTCTCCTCTGATGCTGCTCATATCCCATTCTTCCATTTGCAATCGATGATCTCCCTTTCTTGGAGGATGTATCCACCGGGTAGGGGGCAATTCTGGGGTATGACTTGAGGATAGGTGTGTAGCTTTTAGATTGCCGCGTATTGTCAGAGCCAGCTTTGGGTGAGCAGTTAGAGCCATTTGATACCACTGGCTGAAGAAGAACCACTTGGGATTGGGGCATCACCTCCACTGATGAAGGAAAGCCCCACTGCTTTTCTGGTGGAGCCAAGGAAGATGGCTAGAGAAAAAAATAAGCTAATAAATAACTTCATAATACCATTTAACTATGTAATTAACATTCAAACAGTGAGTTACAGTGTATAGAAATGACTAACAACTGTTTTTTTTTCTTTCTTTTTTTATAAACACCAAACCTAAAGGTGAACAGTTCACTAAAACAACATTCCTTGGTGATGAAGTTGTCACTGAGGGAGAAAAGCCAAACAGGTGGTGATTTGACCTGCTGTTTGTCCACTGATTGTATAATAAAAATGTAGGAGGAAAAAGTGGAAAAATAGTTAACCTACAAAGTGTAAAAACACACAACTTACAAAACAGTTGACACTTTTGACTATTAATGAATTCAGGACAGACTATTCTGTCTATTGTAGAGTTGGGCGATGCTTCACAATATGCTTGTGGGAGACCACGAAATTGTTTCTTAATGTGAAATTATTTTTCTGCAGTGTGAATCTAGGCTGATGAAATAAGCCTATTTATAGTTACCAGCTCAGGGGTAACAGGAGCAACAGCCTGCATTGACACCTGCTTATGTTGTTCAGCCTTGAAGCAGCCTCCTAATGTATGAGATGGATTTGGATTCTTACTTTCCTATGGTTCTCTGCTGGATGGATCTCACTGAAATCAAACCATTGTTTATTTACAAATCAGGGGGTGGAACATGGATGAGTTGGACCTAATCGACTCAGAGCGGTTTTTAGATTTAGAAATCTCCTTTGTCAGTTTTGACAAAAAAAAAAACTGATTATTTTTAACTAAAATACAATTCTGACAGAAATGTGTGGATGCCTGTGGTACTCCTAATTTATTTAATGAAAGGCCAAACAGCATTAAGCCCAAAAAAACATACAATTTTAATTGGTAGTAATTATATATCATAAACAGAGAGTGGTTTCAGCAGAGAATAGGCGCTACTGAAATTAAGGGAAAAAAAAAAAAAAAAAAAACAGAGATGGGGCCAAAACACTTTTCATGCTGCATCTCTCTCTTTTTTTCTCCCAAATTGTTTTGCCTTTTTGCAAAAACCAGCAGATGTTGGGAAACATGAAGATGAGTGAAATTTTTGTGCAAAAGCCAGAATTATATAACACCTGAAAAACATTACTAGTTTAAAAAATATTGTTCTGAATTTCAAATGTAATAAATTAAAATGCCAGTCTAAGATGCTGTATTAAACATGAGTTATTAGCAGTGCATTGCACAGTCACAGATCTGGCATATAATCCAGTTTACCTGCTTCAGGACAAAGTTGTTCATGATGATCATCGGGGAAAGCCCGGAGTATGATCCACCCATCACAGCCACCTGCTGACCACCTGGTTCATGACCGACTACTGACCCATTCCTCCCAGCATCTTCTGAGTCTGTGACCTCCACTGTGCTGAGGTACTCGGAGCTGGCATCTGAAAATGAGAAGGCCGACACATGGGTCTTATCGTGCTGAAAGGAGGCAGGTTTGTGTTTTGTGCGGAAAGGCAGAACATTAGAACTATAAACACTGGCAGATGCAGATAAAGATCTCTCAACCCTGTAGAGGACAGCATCAACCTAATGAAGGGGATTGAAACAAATTCAGGTCAGCCTTGGTGATATAAGTAAAGGCCATCCTCTTTAGGGCTCAGTGCACCCATATAATGCTACCCAGATCTCCATTTTTGATTAGGCTTGACAACGTTCTTTAAAAAAAGTATCATTTTCAGCCGTTGATTCAAACATGTAGGTTATTAAAATCCAAAAATGTTGTTAATAACATAGCTATTCCCCTTTGATGCTTTTATTTTTAGTGATGATTTGAGTATCCATCCTCAAAACAGCATCGTTTCAATGTTCAACATTTTCATTCTTGTGTTAAAAAAACAAAACAAAAAAGCTTTTAACTTAAAAACTCACAGGATCTCAATTTTGGTCAGATTACATTTAAAAAGAACACTCCAGCACTTTATGTGGAGATGATAATGTTCATGCAACTTTAAACTGTTTAAATCCAAAGGATTTTATATTGTTGCCTAAAGTCTTCTAGACACTTCAATATGGGAAAAAAAGGCAATATGTTAAAGTCTTGTAAAAGTAGACCTAACAAACCTGAGAATCCTGAATCTCTCTCAAGGTCTTGTTTTGACATTCTCAACAGCGGTGTCCTTGTGAAGGGCGGCCCTCTTTGTGAGCCTGGTCTGCTGAAACTGCTCATTCTGATATATGCTGGGAAACAAAAAAACAAAACAAGTTTAAACTGATCTTTTTGCACAGAAACACTTCTATGAGCTATCTCTTAAGCTTAGGATTTCCTAGGACACAGACACAACTCAAGGGCAATAATATAAAATAAATAGCATTTGATCTATTTGAGCAAGCACGATGCCACTATTGGTTTAATTCCATACATTTATTCCAAGAAAGGTTAATCATTTAATCATTATACACTTCAATTACAAGTTACAGAGTACATAGGGTACCTCAATCACAAATCAGATTTCTAAACAAAAGACATAAGCATGTTTTTTTTGTTTTTTAAGAGCAGTTAATCAACAAAAAATATCATTATTTGACCCTTCAAATTATTACTTTATGGCCTTTTTGTGCTAGTGTAGTTTAACATTATTTAAGAGGTTATAAAATCTGACTGGGTAACATCCACAGCAGGTCTTCTATGGATTAATCATCTTTGCAAAACCAATTGTGCCTTTTCCACATACCGTACTTTATCTGCAGGCAGCCAGGAATAATTAAAATGATGACTCACTTCAACATAGATGCTAAAATATAACACAGCTAGGACTTGCAGATTATTTCAGGTCAATCGGGTAAAACATTTCAAAATCTTACTCCCTGTTTTGGCTTCTCTCACACACATCACAATATTTGATCTTTTTTTTTTTATTCTATTTACCAATCAATCTTTTTACTGTATGCGTTTATTTTTGTAGCCTAAATACACGTTACAATAGTCATCCAATGCATATTTAAGCCCTTTTTACATGTTTTGTGCAGTTTGCACACCTTTTTTTTCCCAGGTAAACCCTCTTCATAACCCTAGCTTTGGTGTAATGTTACAAAGTTGGTCAAATTACAGAATTCGACTTTTGGATCGATGGCCTGCCATCCTCCGACGGCCTGAGTTTTTAAAATAATATATCTCATCATGAAGAAAAAGACACACTTCCTCGTTGAAGCATCAAAAAAGTAAAAATGTATTAAATGAATATTGTATCTAGCTGCTGAAAGTAAAATATTTTATCAACTTTCTTAAAAATAGTCAGCTTTATCTTACAAAGACACCCCGACTTCAACAGAAGCAAAACGAAAACATCAACTGCTGCTAGTCTCTACCGAACACGGACTGCACGTCTCCCTGTTTACTATCTGCTTTCGATCTCTGTTAGCACAAATAGCTAGGTAATGCTGATGAGTGCCACTTTTGGTTAGCTAAAACGTATTTAGAAACAAACCATTTACTATGTAAATAGAAGTATTTAACAAAAACCTACCAAAATTTGGTTTTCTTCCAAACTGACATCCGATAGTAGTGTCATCAGTCGACGGGCTGCTGAAAATGCTCGACAGTGTCGAAGCTAACCGTCACGCCTTGTTACCCGTATTAATTCTAACCCTCAATAAGTCTTACAGGTTAACACACCAAATGTATCCTTTAAATTTTTAAGGAACTTTTATTGTTAAATATCTACTATATAAAATTAGATTTGTAAGCGTTATTACATCCCAACGGGTTTTAAATAAGGAACGAATGATAATTTATGCCTGCAAGACTTTGAAGTGGGCTAAACAGCCCGTTAAAAGGTAGCAGGTTTCTACTGTTGTCCTAGCAACAGCTAGACACAGCGGAAGTTGTTTTCTAGAAGGACGACGGACGTCAAAGCCGCAAATGCGCCCTCTATTGGCTCATATGTCAGTCTACATTCTCCATAATATAATATAATATAATATAATATAATATAATATAATATAATATAATATAATATAATATAATATAATATAATATAATATAATATAATATAATATAATATAATATAATATAATATAATATATATAATAATAATATAATTGTTATTATATATTATTATATTATTATTATATATATTATATATTATTATAGAATATATATTTATATATCTATGTATATGTAACCTTGTGCATTCCTAATATAGTATTACATTTTAAAATTATTATATTATATTATCCATCCATTATCTGACACGCTTTATCCCAAGCGGGGTCGCAAGGGGTGCTGGTGCCTATCTCCAGCTGTCTACAGGTGAGAGGCGTGGCACACCCTGGACAGGCCAGTGGGAGTACCCGGAGGGAACCCACTGATCATGCTCAGGGAGAACATGCAATCTCCATGTAGAAAGACCCTGGGCCGGGAATCAAACCCGGAACCTTCTTGATGTAAGGCAGCAGTGCTAGCAGCCCCATATTATGTCATATTATATTATATAATATAATATATTCCTATATATATATTATATAGGAATGGGCAAGGCTGCAAGTTGCCCAAAATTGCTCACCAGGCTAGGGTTTGTGCAAGTCCGCAGGACAAATTCTATTTACAAACTTGTAAAAGTATAAAAGTTTTAAACAATCGAATGCAGGTTAACTCTCTAACATTTATTGCTTGCTAATCCTTGCTAATGCCAGTAAAAAAACAACACCCCCCAAAAGAAAGTTATCTGACAGTCATAGTACTTTTATTATAAAATAAATATTTAAATGAAATAAAAATAATAGCATAGGTAAAATGTTTCTACATCATACATTTTCTTCTTTCGGTGTATGAGGAAAAGATATTACATAACTAACTCAACTGACCATTCCAATACCACTCTGTTTCTATAAACGGACTCAGGAAATCACCTGTGGAGCGAGATTGACAGAGTGTTATGTTACCAAAGGGGACATGTATAAAGCAAAGCACTTTTGTGTTTGTCTTTTTTTTTTAAATGTTGTGAAAATGGTTGTAAATATGTTTAAAATGCATTACAAATACTCAACAATGGATGAGATACGAATAAAAAAAAAATTAAAAAAGGATTTTCTTTTGATAGTTTTCTACTTTACCTGGCGTTACCCAGAATTTGGGTCATTGAATATGACCCAGTTTCTTTATTTGATCACATGGGATGGATTTGCTTTTCCAGTGTTATTTTTAACATGCTTGTTCCTTTAATATTTAGAGCAAATGTGCCTAGTCATGTAAAGAGTACAGACTTTTTCTTGTGAAACACACAATGTTATGATTGGGTTAATGCATTCTGAAGTAGAATAGGAAAATGTGATGATAAGGCACATTTAAATAACTGCCAACTTTATCAACCAGCTCTTCAAATAAAACATTTTCCTATTGAGCATTTTTATGCCCTATTTTTAAACACTAGAGGGAGGCATATCATTGTTGCATGTACAGTGCATATGTACATTTAGTCAAAAAACAAAAACCTTTACAAGTCTTTACAATGATAATCAGAAAAACATAAACTTTTTGAAGGTTGTTGGTCTAACGACTTTAACAATAAATATAGAGATTTAAGTGTAACCGCCTTTAAATACAAGAATAACCGACAAAGTAACTAACACAATAATATCAGGTGGAAGATCAAAACATGAGTCTTTCGTTTTCTACATTGCACTGGCTCCCAGGGATGTCCATTGTGTCAGGTATGTAACAGAGTGTTTCCACCAATCAAATCGCACGTCCTGTTGAACTTCGTCATTGCAGACACCCTGTTCGTTATCGACAGCATGTCAGCAAACCAACCCAGCTGTTGGAGTCTCTGGCAGCAGACACAGTGTTTGATAGATCATTGGAGGAGACTCTTCATGCTGTCACCGGGCTCGATGAATAGACAGCCACGCTGCAACAGGAGGTTGGGTTGCCGCTGAAGTTACCTGCGGGGAATCTGGCACCTGGAGAATGAATAGAGTTGCTGTTTTATCGACATCACCTTAATAGCCTGTTGGTACGTTAACTTTTGTCTTAATAAAAGTGTGCCATTACCTGTCACAGTCTTTTGTTTTTTGTCTCTCCTTTCTCTTCCTTCCTCTTCCTCTTTGCCTTTTCCTAAACAAGGATAAGATAATTGTAAAAAATCCCCACATCCTCTGAAAAAAATATAACTTTTAATCATTGATCTCCGAAAGGGGTTCTTACCTTCCAACTTTCACCAAAGGTTTCCGCTCTCTGAGAAGATTTATAGAAATTATATTACAAAACATTCCCTCCAAAATGTTAATTTTTAATGTATAGTTAAGCTTTATGTAATATGCATGTTTTAAAATAAATACAATACTGTTTAATAGCCCTGCTACCTTTATAGCATTCAATATTTTAGTTTTAGAATAACTTGTTGAGCAGTGTCCCCCTTTCCTCCATGTCCTGTGTGGAGTTTCTTTTACTGTTCAATATTCCTCTTTAGGGCATTTGTAGGAGGTTAAATTATGCTTATGAAGTAATTCAGCTTATCTGAACTCGTGATATATTCATTCTCTGCGAAACAATATATAAACAAGTAAACGGATGATAAGGGTGCTGAATGTAATGCAGCAGAGGTCTTTGAGTTGAGATTAGGACCCAGGACAGCTGCGTCAGTGACTAAGAGCCTATATATCGCAGGCATGTCCAGAGTTGGTCCTCGAGGGCCACTGTTCTACAGCTACAGCTTTAGGAACAACGAAAGAAGCAGTAGTAAAATGCTAAAGCACCATTATTCTCATTGACACACATACAGTCAGACCTTAAAACTTGACAGGAAACTGCCAGTTATCACATTAAGAAGCTAAATGTCTTTTGGAAATAGATTTAAAAGTCAGAACAGATAAAAATTCAGGTTTTGGTCACCATGACAAGAGGTCGGGTTGGTTGAATAAAGGTGCTTTCAAAGCAAAGTACAGTATCATGCATGGTGGTGGCGTCACCTTGCTGAGGGCCTGTTCTCCTGCTAATGGGGACGAATATAGATGAGCAAGACTCGATTACCATCCTTTCACTTCAATCCTGAATGTCCTACAGGTGCTGGTCATAAAATTAGAATATCATGAAAAAGTAGATTGATTTCAGTAATTCCATTTAAAAAGTGAAACTTGTATATTATATTCATACATTACATACAAACTCATATATTTCAGATGTTTAGTTTGTTTAATTTTGATGATTACAAATGACAACAAATGAAAATCTCAAATTCATCATATCAGAAAATTAGAATATTACTGAAGACCAATAAAAACAAAGGATTTATAGAAATGTTGGCCAACTGAAAAGTATGAACATGAAAAGTATGAGCATGTACAGCACTCAGTATTTAGTTGGGCCTCCTTTGGCCTGTATTACTGCAGCAATGCGGCGTGGCATGGAGTCGATCAGTCTGTGGCACTGCTCAGGTGTTATGATAGCCCAGGTTGCTCTAATAGTGGCTTTTAGCTCTTCTGAATTGTTGGGTCTGGTGTATTGCATCTTCTTCTTCACAATACCCCATAGATTTTCTATGGGGTTAAGGTCAGGAGAGTTTGCTGGCCAATTAAGAACAGGGATACCATGGTCCTTCAACCAGGTACTGGTAGCTTTGGCACTGTGTGCAGGTGCCAAGTCCTGTTGGAAAATGAAATCTGCATCTCCAAAAAGTTGGTCAGCTGCAGGAAGCATGAAGTGCTCTAAAACTTCCTGGTATGTGGCTGCGTTGACCCTGGACCTCAGAAAACACAATGGACCAACACCAGCAGATGACATGGCACCCCAAACCATCACTGACTGTGGAAACTTTACACTGGACTTCAAGCAACGTGGATGAAGTGCCTCTCTTCTTTTCCTCCAGACTCTGGGACCTTGATTTCCAAAGGAAATGCAAAATTTACTTTCATCAGAGAACATGACTTTGGACCACTCACCAGCAGTCCAGTCCTGTTTCTCTTTAGCCCAGGCAAGACGCTTCTGACGCTGTCTGTGGTTCAAGAGTGGCTTGACACAAGGAATGCGACAGCAGAAACCCATGTCTTTCATACGTCTGTGTGTGGTGGTTCTTGAAGCACTCACTCCAGCTGCAGTCCACTCTTTGTGAATCTCCCCCACATTTTTGAATGGGTTTTGTTTCACAATCCTCTCCAGGGTGCGGTTATCTCTCTTGCTTGTACACTTTTTTCGACCACATCTTTTCCTTCCCTTCGCCTCTCTATTAATGTGCTTGGACACTGAGCTCTGTGAACAGCCAGCCTCTTTAGCCATGACCTTTTGTGTCTTGCCCTCCTTGTGCAAGGTGTCGATGGTCGTCTTTTGGACAACTGTCAAGTCAGCAGTCTTCCCCATGATTGTGTAGCCTATAGAACTAGACTGAAAGACCATTTAAAGGCTTTTGCAGGTGGTTTGAGTTAATTAGCTGATTAGAGTGTGGCACCAGAGGCCATCAATTTTGAACCTTTTCACAATATTCTAATTTTCTGATATGATGAATTTGAGATTTTCATTTGTTGTCATTTGTAATCATCAAAATTAAACAAAATAAACATCTGAAATATATGAGTTTGTATGTAATGTATGAATATAATATACAAGTTTCACTTTTTAAATGGAATTACTGAAATCAATCTACTTTTTCATGATATTCTAATTTTATGACCAGCACCTGTATATGTATCAAAGTTTGTCTGTTTTAATTTAATAATACTTTAACCATAAAGTATATATATACCTGGAGCATGTAACCAAGATAGTCTTCCCCCTGGGATCATTAAAGTATTTCTAAATCTGATTCTGATAACCTGCCAAGCTGAATTCATAGCGTTTTGCAATGAGGTTTAAATCTATACGTTATAAATCTAGGACGGCTTAAATGCAATCTGTTCAGGGAGAAGAAGGACATCCCATGAAACCTTTCCAGCTGACACCCAATGCCTGCCTACCAAAGTTTGATTTTAGCCAATCACAGTAACAAATTATGATGTCATCAGATGCTGTGAAACTTCAGCTTTTAACAAGCTTGCTGTTGCTGACAAACAGGTATGAAAGCAGCAACTATGCATACATCTTCCTGTGCTGCCATGTTTATTTTGATTCTGCTATGGGCTTGGTAAATCAAGCTCGTACTAAATGTCCCGCCTTAAACTGTAATACTGCAACATGATTGGCTGACCCGTTCCACGTCGGTCTCGAATGGTTAAAGCTGGAGCGGGAAAAGGAGGATTCTTGTGTGTTTAATAAAAACACGAAAATGTAGCCTGTGGGGAAGGTTTCTTTAACCTGAGATTGTCATCACACCTGCTTGTTTTGAATACAATAGCAACATTTTACATAAGATTACACAAAAGTGCTACCAATGCTGATAACACTAATCCCTTAAATAAGAAAATGACGAGTCAATGATATGATTTTTGCAATAATTGTGTTTTCATACTATCAGAATAATAAATGTTTTAAAGAGACTGTTAAAACAGTGCAGTCACATCTGCTTCTAATTTAAGTAATGACCTGATGTCAGCAAGGGTAAATAATATGCTGAATGCTTTTAATCATAGCTCTGAAGGAGAAATAAGTATCATTAAAAACCATAGATTAGAATTTGAGGAAAATTCTCTGGGAGGTCAATTCATTAAATAATGCCACACTAAACTAAATTAAGCAATTGTAGACTATAATAATAAAACATACCATAAAGAAGAATGAATTTGCAGCATCAACTTATTCTTTAACAGCAATTAGAGGGTTTAACTAAATACACATAAAATATAAGAATTCTTATATGTATGTGTTTTAGGTGAAAATTATGAAAAGTTTCTTTTTTTCTTACCTACATTCACATGTCTTATGCTCCACAAAGGTCATCTCAACATATTCTTCACCTGGTTCTGAAGGTCGGATTTTCAACAGCTGTTTAGCAAAGTCAGAAGACACAGTTATAATCACAGGACCTTTCAAAATAACGCATAGTGCCTACACTTTCAAAGATTATATATTTGTCTACAGACTTTAAGGGATTGAAAGAGAAGTTTGTTGAGAAACAATACATGGCTTTCAACATTTTAGCACAACAATCTGAAAAATAAAAAATGCAAGCCAAACCATTCCTGTTTAGCCCTGGCTTTATGGTTCTGACTATTGTCCCAGTGGAAGGTTACCCTCTATATTGGCTGCTAGTAGGGCTGGGCGATATAGAAAAAAAGCTTATCGATAAAAAAAAATGCATATTGATCGATATCGATAATTATTGAAAAGATTTGAAACCATATTTTATGTGCAGCTCTGCCTGGACTTTTTATAATATTGCTAAATGATTTAATTTTAATAAAAAACACAAACACAGACTTCGAATTAAATCTTTATTTAACCAACTTTTTTAACCATAACAGAATTGTTTTAAAGAAAAATAACTTAAGAGACCTGAGTTATGTTATTAAATACTGACAAAGAATAAACTAAAGTGACCAGAAAAGTGACCAAAATAAATATAACAAATAAATAAATGCCCCCCCACCGCCGCCCCCGTTTCCTGCTTTAACCTGAGTTATTACTTTGAAGTTTCTGGCCCCTCAGCATTTTTATCTCAATTGTTAGAACTACGTGGGAAACTGCCCAGAACTGAAAATATATATATATTTTCCGAAGATTCCTCGGAGGAGAGCGGCGTCGGGGCCTACACAGCTCGTACTCCTGCGGGTGTGAGCGGCTGAGATGATAAAAAAAAAGTTGGTTTCGTTATCAGACTTCGTTTTCACTGGTTCCCGACACATTTTCCAGATGACTGTGGTTTGTTTTTGGTCCGACTTGCCATGACCGAAATACTGCCAGACTGCCGAACTACAAAAACCCTTCTTTGAAACAATTTCCTCCGCCTCTCCTTGCTGCGACATCTTCATGTGCTTTGTGTTGTGGTTTGAGAGGGCGGCGCTTGGTGACGGCATGCCTGGGTCCGCGATTGTGATTGGTTGGGAGGAAGCAGTGACTAGCATAAACCTACATGCTAGGCTACAATGAGAAGGAAGGAAAACTACGTTTCTTTTTTATCGAACTTTTATCGACCCTCTTTTTTTCTATTGCGCCACACGTCTATCGATCGATATATATCGTTATTGAATTATCGCCCAGCCCTAGCTGCTAGTCTTGAAGCTCCTATTGGGGATTTTATTCCAATACCTCCCCATCTTTAGCACAGTATGATGTTGCTCGGTTTCACGGTGTAGAAGTTGTGCTTAACATTATAGTGTGTTAGTTTTGCAGGTCAGCCGAAAGGTTCATCCTTGGTTCATTTGACCAGAGTGCATACATCTTGCTGTCTCCACAAAAGGACTTTCTGCTCAGCAGTATTTAACATACACATACTCTGTAAGCCAAGCAAAAAATGCTTTTGCTGCCTGAAAATTCTCCCACCTCGGCTGTTGATCATCTAAAGCTTATATCAAGCTTCTCTATGCACTTCTAAATAAGGCTTTCCTGCCTGACCTGTCAGTTTAGGTGGAGAGACACGTATTAGTAGGTTCGCAGTCATGCAATACTCATAACATTTTCTGTATATGGATTCAAAACTGCTCTGAAAGATGTTTGGACCGTGGGACATATTTAAACAACTTCACACTTATATCCCTGACCTGTCTGCATTATTTAATCTTGTTTTATGTATGTTTACTCACTGATGTTTAAACCTATGAGACCCTCACAGAACTGCTGCCTTTATGCTAAGATGATATTAAATTCAGACAGTCTTTTTAAAAAGAAATTAGTTGCAAAATGTTTCACTTAACAATATCAAGAAGTAAGTGAATGAATGCATATATTCACATGGTTCAGCTTCAAATTACAATTATGAGATTTTGTATTTGGAACAAAAAAACCCTTAAAACCATTTTTTAATCAAACTTTACAATTGTATGCTACTTTGTGCTGTCTACTTTGTGCAGATGCCATAAAATACATTGAATCTTTGTCAAATTTTATAAGAATTAAAGGGAAAGTTTTTATTTTATATATATATATTTTTTGCTGTTCTCTTACCTGCATTGTGACATTTGAAGTTTCAGTGGGATGACACTCTAAGTTTTCATCACCGCAGCAGCCCGCACATCTAACCAACGGCACGCAGGAGGGGCTGTAAATGTGCTCCACCTCTGTCGGGTATTCCTGGACAACTTCCACCAGCTTCTCCATTGTCCGGCAGAAACTGCGACCCCACACCTCTTGAAACATCAACACTGTGAGGAAGAACAGAAAGATAAACCACTTTGAAGATAAATAAATATTTGTCCACTTATAGATGCACTTACAGATCTTGATTTAAAGCAAATTCTCCAAATCTTTAATTAGAGACAAAAATGACTCCATGTACTGTAAATAACCAACACTACTAGTTTATATTTATTTGTTTGAACATTTATTTAAACAGAGTATTAATGACATGCTCATGTAATGTATACAGGGACCTAATACCAGATGTGATATACAGTGTATCCTGTTTCCTACTGCAGAAAAAAAGTACAATGTGCACTACACTTTCCTGTGGGAGTACATGTGTGAAAGTGTCCTACTTGCTGTGAGGGGGAGAAAAGTACAGGGACCACTATAGCCAAACACAGAAGGAAGAGAAAACAAACACTGGGAACATGGCCATGAACAGAACCCTGCTGGAACTGGAGCTGGGCTGCCCCGCAGGCACCTCTGGGACTTTACTGACCCCCAGAGGTCACCGACTGGAGCCTGACACCACAACAGCTGTTTATAAAAGCAGACGGACTGGGAGGAGACGGTCGGGGAAGCATCCACGGTCAGCAGATGAGGCCATGAACTGTAATGTTGTAATACAACGCAATGGGACAGTTTGCTGGCCAGTTACTACTCCTTAACTTCTCTTTTACTTATATGAACTTGTTTCTGTTGCATGAATTCCAGATCCAAATATTGGAGCTGTGCAAGTCTTTAACTTGCAGTTTATATTTCCTTTGGCTGCATTAATTTATAGAGATGTGAGGGAGGGAAAGGATATGAGGAAGGAAGGTCAGCAGTTGGGTAATCCCTTTTAGCTTAGGCATGCCCCGTTATCATCTAGATTCAAATCAAGTATAATGAATGATTGCCCAGATTCCTGAACTTTGTCATGCCTCATATCTAAATAACGCATAGCAAAGATAACCAATTTTAAAACAAGCTTCATTTGGTGACCTCTAACAAAACAAAATATAGGTAAAATATTCCCTTTGTGGGTTTATTTTTATGTGGATGTTCTGTTATGGCACCTTCTGTAAACTGTATGCTGGTTCTGGTTAATTTCAAGTGTCAGATTATTTTATATCTACAAAACAAAGCAAGGTGAGGTAGTCCTCGAGTTGCAGTATTGACTTTATTTACCAGAAAATGCAACAGGCCAACTTTAATTCACGTTTAAGAAGATAAGGGTGGTGGGTGGAGACGGGCAAACAGTAATTGAAAGACAACCTCAGTAACAAATAATGCCATACTGATCACTAAAGACCATATATTTGTGACTTTAGGCTGTTTTATACCCACACTTTCAAAATACCACATGATCTGGAAGTTACTGTATGTCTGTGTACCGGTCATGTTTTAGTTTGCCTAGATGTAGTTTAAGAACTGAAAAAGGGTACATCATGGAAAGAAGCAACAGTCCTACCGGTAGTTATCTCTTGATTATTCTTTAAAAAATATTCAGCTTCAAAGATAAGTAAGTTAATAAGCAACTGGTGCATGTTAATGGTTTGAACCAATCTGACAGGAAGAGGCCCAAAAGGAAAGCTGAAAGCAACAAAATGTTAGTGTGTATGTCGGAGAGCAAACTGTAGAAGAGGCAAACTGAGCTAAACTTGACAAAACAAAAAAGCAAAAAATAAGATAAATATACTTTTCTTTGTAGCTAGAGTTTTTTGCTATGGAATCCATAATATTTGCCAGCACAATTACTAATTTAGAAACAAAAATAAAGAATTACTTACCTCCAGTGGTGCTGTTTGTGTCTGGCATGGGCAAATTCTGCAGAAGAGAAAAAAAAAGCTTTATAAAAAAACAATGAAATAATAAAACATACGCATTTACAATGTGATAAAATTCAAGATTTGACAGGAATAAAAGCAAGTAAGTAGAACAGAGCAAGAAAATCTAATAAGATATTACTCAACATTTGAAAAAAAAAAAAAAATAGATAAAAATATGTTTCTATTCAACAAAGCCTCAGAGTAAAAATGTTTTAAGATATTAATACGGCTATTGCCACAGTTTCAGAGTCGCAGGAGAAAAGCTCCTAAAGTTTTCTAAAATGCAATAATTTGCATTTTAAACCATCTGGTCTGCTAACCTGCAGAAGAAGCACTGTATATGTTGGGGCAGCAGTTAAGCCTGGTGTAATGGAGCCTCGCTTTTAAGGTAATAGAAAAAAGCGAATGAATAAACTATAAGTCAGAGAAGGGAAACCAAAATGGCGAAAAGGGTATCTTGTCACTACATTAGTAACAAAACAAGCAGCGGTAATATGTAACAGTAGTATGTCCTTAAAAATGGAAGACTTATCCCAAAGCACAGGTCAGCTCAACTGGAAAAATCTATTTCAATGATATTTTAATTCAATTCATCTATATAGCATACATTTACAACACATGCTATCTCAAGGAGCTTTACACAGATATTACAGTCAGACTGGTTCAACAATTTCTATCAAAGGAAAACCAGCTGGCTGCATCGAGTCATTGACTCGATAGTGGTTAAAAATGTCTCCTTGCCTCAGGTGGCAGTGCCACAAATTTCAGCAGAAACAAAGAAAAAAAGAGGAGGCTCTAGAGCGGAGCCCTGTGGTACCATCCTGGAGGAGGTCAACAGTCGTTAATATAAAACCAATGATGGTGAAAAAACTTCTATATGAAATTCAGGACTAAAACCATTTAAAATGTGGTTTACACTGCTGCATTGTAGGGATGAGCCACACCAGAACACATTCATTGAAGATGGTCTCCTTATCAATAGTGTTAACTAACACAGGGTGGGCATGCAAGTACATTTTCAACAGGCTAAGTAATTTCGCTATGGTGATAGCTGGTGCTACATAGATCTAAACTAGGTTGACAGTGGATCTTTCTTTCCAACCCAGAATTAGTTCAATCTTTTTGACATGCAGCAGATCCTCGCTGACATGTTTCACAGTGTGCCCAAATGTTTAGGTTAAAAAACCTGCTTCCTGTGCTGTAAGATTCACTTCTCTATTTATTTACCATTGATGGCTTCCCCCCCTGTCTTGATTTCTTTCCCATAATCCCCCCGATAAACAGAGTGAATTTCTCATTCGCCTGGGAAAACACAAAACCTCTGCTTGACTCCATCTCAGGAAGGGAAATCTAGGTTTGATAAAACACCCTCCGGCAGAAATGCAAGACAGGCGGCAGACAACCTGCTTCCGCAATCCTTCGTAACAAGAACTGTATATGATTTTTTTTCTCTCTCTCTGACAAAAGCTTGATTAATTTAAAAAGTCAGTGCAGACTAAAACATGAAAAAGTATTATGCAATATTACGACAGTTGTTTTCGCACCATCTGTTCACTGCAAAAAATGCATCCTCTTCCTGTTTTGAACCAAAGTTACCATGTAGATGAGGATGGTATCACAACACAACAGTCAGGACACTTCTCCAAGCAGCATGAATTATGAGGAACGTCCTGAAGATGAATTCCAGCTCGTACAAACATTTGGGAGAAATATTTTAAACCTTTAGCAAGTTAAGTAGGAGATATATAAACATGTTTTCTATTGCATTTCCTCCGGTAGGCTTCCACAAAGTCACACAAGCTCTGTCATCTTAGAGTTCTGGGAACAGAAGAAGCTTCTCCCTCTTTTTCTCAGAGCAGCTCATCATCTGGCCGGCATGTACAGCTGTTCCTCTGACAGCAGGGTTGTTCTATAAAGTGGCGTCCACCGAACTGTGTCTGCTGCTGCACAAAAACACAGCAGGACAGGAGCTCTGCTCTCTGAATATATTTTAATGCTCAGCATGGGAACGTCACATTGCAGTTTAAACTATTGTTCAGTGTCACTTGCACCCACTCAAGCACTGATTATTTTCCATTCTCTATAGCAACGTCAGAATTAAACAAACCTCGCTCCACAATCACTGTCTTAAGATCCTTTCACTTTTCCTTTCTTTTTTTGTTTTATGGGTCTGCTAAATTACAAGAGCTACTTGGCTTTGACTCTTCAAGGAGTCTTGGGTTAAGCCTTATAAATATGAAACATAAATAAAACTCTGACCTGCAGTTTAAGAACAGATGAGAAGTTGCTGCCATAATATTAAACGTTGTCAGAGATGTCTCAGATAGCTATTCCTCCTCATGCACTTAGCAGTATTACCGTCATTTTGTTATTAGTGGGGGCTGGAGGTGGCTTGACCCTTGTGGAAAAAGAGAGGTTTTATATCAGTAAATTATAAATGAGCTTGACAGACAAATCCCCCAAGCTAGATCAATTTCTAACCGCTCCCCAGTGTCTTTTTTTCACCTAATTTTCCTGATAAAGTCTCATCAAGGGAGATTACCTTTTAGTTAATTAGCTGTAGCAGGGTCTTGTGTCATTTTCATGAATTGTTTTAATGGAAACATGACGCAGTGCCTAAAACTACAAGAGTATTCAAATTAGGCTGAACACTCTAATAGAAAGCTTTCTTATTCAACATTATCATCCTCATTGAAATACAAAGCTATTTACTTTTAACAGGAGACCTCTTCTGTTTGATTTCCACAGTATATCCACTTAGAGTGAGTATTGAAGTCACATAATTACTAAATCTAATCAATTTGTGCATAATTGAATCGTATTACAAATGAGGCTGTTCATTAAAGCCCTTGGAAGTTTCTTGGAGAACAATAATGAAGTAGAAGATTCAATACATTTCTTCTTGATTAAGGGAAACCACTTTAAAGAACTCACACAGGAGACATGGAAGAAGATATTTTGGTTAAATTATATCAAAATTAAATGTTTTGACCAGCGTATAAAATGCAATGGTTATAAACTAGCTTGCTGATCATCCAGAACAAACCCAGTGAAAGCATCCTGCTGTGCAGAAGCTTAACTGGAGCAGGGATGATACAACCAGTCACACTTGATGGAAAATTGAAGCTCAACAAAGGAGAATAATGAAATAAAACTTAGAAGACAATGAAATATAAAAGGCTGCTGTTCTAGCAGGAGAACTATCTCATAAATATTGTTGGTTAGTATTTCTCTTTTGCAAGTTTGGTTTTGGGTTGTACAGCAATTCTGACTGTTTTACTCTTGTGTTGTTAGAGGGCTTGCTCAGTCCCTGAGCTCCTGCTATTATGCCGCAGAGGCCCCAGACATCATCGCTCTCTGGTACTGCACGGCTGAACTGCATCATCTTTAACCTCCTTGCTTATTCCATCTGTCAGAGAAAGGGAAGCGTGTAAAGGGAGCAAAACTTAACCATGACAGAGACTTTGCTTAATGGTTCCAGTTTAGAGGGTCAAGCGGGGGAGGTCAGTACAACAGCAGGTAAAATGGCAAATAGCTAAAAAAAATGTGGATCCGAGCTAAAAAAAAAGAAAAAAAAAAAAGCTATATTTTTTTGAAGAACAGAAAACAATGAAGGACATGGAACAATCACTTAACAACAAAATGCTTCTGTCATTTCAGCTATTACAAAACACTGACAGTAAGGATGTGGGATGTTTTGCATGATAACAAGTAAAAAAGACTGTTTGCTACGAGAGAGCTTACAGTATGTACTGTAAATCAGTCTCAGATTGTTTGTACATCCTTTTTATCCAGGGTTCACATTTTGAATGTATTATATAATAAAATCTTTTTACAACGTTATTGACCATAAAGAAAACTAATCATAAAAAAATACTGAACATTGGCAATATATTCTTTAAGAAAGCTAAAAGGCATTTTGAGCATCTTATCAACACAATGGAGTATTTTAAAAAAATTTTCTTGTGGTTAACAAAGTACGAAAATTTGATCAAAATGAAGCAAACAGCATTTTACAATTATCGAGCATCTATATTAAGACTCCATTCCCCATAAATCCTTCTGCTATCATTCAGTTTTTATGGTCAGCATGGTTAAATCTCTCCCATTTAACATGGCTAATAACATTTGGAGCTGTCAGCCAAGCTTTTAGGACTTTTACTGTGTAAAAATGACAAGTCGAAGTGCCAAACATTTAAATATCAGAACTTCTAACGACAGAACAAACCGTGCACGCAGCTGTGCATCTGGCATAATAACAACAGCAGGGGTCCCTACTCAAGCCTTATTTGATTGCTCTGACTGCCATTGCTTCCAAATAAAAGGCTTCAGAGATGTGGACTCAACATGCAGAGCTGGCTGTGCAGTTTATGTTTTATCAGAGTTTAAAAGCAAAACATGGTTCACGTCAGCAGAGTTGTTTACTTTAATAATGAGAAAAGGCAGACTGGGGAAATCCCCTCCTCAGTTCTCAAGACTTGGACTAATAATGACTTGAGTAAATGGCAGCTCTTGCCAATTATATATAAATATCTTGTTTTCTTATAATGAGTACTCTGTTGGGGGGTGGAGGGGGTGGGGGGCTAATTCCCTTTGACTGGACATCAAAAAGATCACTACAAGAAATGTTTGCTCTGGGTACAACAGATTGGTAGGTTGTTTGTCTGTTATTTTTTTCAGCTTTATTCAGCTGTCATTACACTGTCATAAGGACAGAGCAACGAAATGAACTCTCTGAATTTAACCCATCCCCTTGGGGAGCAGTGGGCTGCCATTGTACTGTCCCCAGGGAGCAGTGTGGGGTGAACGGTCTTTGCTCAGGGACCCAGAGTGGCAATCTGTGGGAGTGGGGCTCTAACTCAGAACGTCTGGATTCCAAGCACAATGCCTTAACCACTAGACCGCCACTCCCTATTTCTTACCTACCATACTGGACAATAAACTGTCCACTATACCTTAATCAATAATGGTTCTATATAAAATTAAAATAATATGAAT